GTTATCAGGAGGGATCAGTCCCTGGAGAAGGACATCATGCTTGGTAAAGTAGAGGGTCAGCAAAAAAGAGGAAGACCCTCAATGAGATGGACTGGCACAGTGGCTGCAACAATAGACTCAAGCATAACAACCATCATGCGGATGGTGCAGGACTGGGCAGTGTTTTGTTCTGTTGTACATAGGGTCTCTATGAGTCAGAAATGACTCCATGGCACCTAATAACATCAACAACATATTCAAATTTAAAAAATATATAGTTTTGAGTCTAGAAGACACTTTAGTTTCTTTTGTTAAAAATAAACTGGCTCATATAGTTAATAGTTTAATTTAGAAATTAAAAAAAAGAAAAAAGCATCAAATTGTTTACGCTTCCTGCCAAAAGTCAACCACTGAACACAGTATTAAAGAGAGAGACCTTACCATCTATGCGCTCTTAGACAAAATTCTTACTTTTTCTGCATCTCAGTTTCCTCATTGGTAAACTTGAGGTGTTAATTCCCAGCTTTGTAACATTATAAATGGAGACCTGGTGGCGCAATAGTTAAGCTTTTGATTGTTAACCAAAAGATCTGCAGTCAAATCCACTAGCCACTCCTTGGAAACTCTAGGGCAGTTCTACTTTGTCCTAGAGGTCGCAGTGAGTCGGAATTGACTCAACAGCAATGGGTTTGATTGAGTTTTAGTATTATAAATGCATTAAATGTTTAACTATTTTATCTTTCTTGTAAATTGCTGGTGGGAGTAAGTAAATGTAGATTTTAGGTGGCAAAATTTTAGCAACATTCTTTAAGAATCATAGAAATTATTTTATTTTTGTCTTTGATAATTTCTTATGAATCTATTTTAAGGAAATAATCAGATGTGGACACATACGCAAAATCACATTGTGTATGGTGGGAAAAAATAGGCAATCTCTATTGAATCATTCAACTTCATTGAATGAATATAATGCAGAGATATTGCAAACCATTTCTGAAGAATTTGAATTAATACTTAAAATGATTATGGCATTTTGTTATCGAAATGTTATCTCAGTTTTTGAAGATCATGTGTATATGCTATAAAATTAGAGAAATATTATACATATATATCTAGGTAAGAAACTGCATATTATATATGTATCTCTAGGTAGGAACCCTGGTGACCGAGTGGTTAAGAACTACAGCTACTAACCAAAAGTTCAGCAGTTTTAATCTCCCAGCTGCTCCTTGGAAACCCTATGGGGCAGTTCTAGTCTATCCTATAGGGTCACTATGAGTCTGAATTGACTCAGTTTTGGTTTTCTTTAATCTCTAGGTAAGAGAATGATGTAGAATCTCATTTTACTTCATACCATCATCTAATAAATAAATTATTTTATATTTAATATAAAGAAAACTCTTGAATACCCAACATTAGGACACCATTTATTTAATACTAGAATTTAATTGGAAAAATATCACCTATACTTTAAGCTAATCATATTATCATGCCTGAGTCAATCAGTACTGAATGCACAATAGTGCATGCGATTCTCCTTTAATGTATTATAATTCAATAAACTCTGTAAAACTTCTAATGCTGTCATACGGTTTACATTAATCAACTTCATTTTCATTTCAAATTTCTAGTGGCATTTTACATATTTCTTCTGAAGCTCTCCTTAATCTATGCAAAACTCACCTTCAAATTACTTGCAAAAAGGTGGAAGAGTGAGGAGTAGCAGTGACTGAATTTAATTTGGAACTTGGATAGAGCTAAAAACACATTTGTCTTTTTGTTCTTAGGTCAGTTTGAAAAGAAAATGGTTCTGGTTTTAGCTAATGAAGATTTTTTGTAGCTTTACTTGGATCACATTGTTAAAACCTACCTAGAATTTTGACTAGTTTCTGGCAATATTATCACATATTCTTGGAGCCTTTGGCTATTAGATCTAGTCTATAAAGTCATTGCTTTGTATTGAGCTTTTGCCTATTTCATATCTTTAGCCAAATATGAACGAGAAAGCAATACTCACTTCATCGAATATCTTTCATAGGGCAGTCAAAATTTGCAATTTGAAATTCCTAAGTTCAAAGAACATTTATCTATAGCTTGATTTTATGCTTGAAAGTTCTTATGATTCACAGTAGTCTGTAAAAAAAATTAGGAGAAAAACAATCCTATCACTTATAAGCACTTTTCCTGAAACTAAAGGAAAATATATAGAAACTTGTAAAGAAACATCAGTATATTATAACCCCTGATTGTTGCCTGGTCCTTTTTATTTTGTGTCACATAATCAGGTATACACCCTTCTGCTTATAGTTCTTATGCAATGCATACAAATACAAATGCATAACAAATTTTGAAGTAAACATAAATTCATCAAATGAATGAATTCATTTTAATAACATTCATTTGAAGCATGGTATTGTTTTACTGAACTGAAGCTATATTATTAAGTTTAATAGCAAATATGTAGCCAAGGTCAAGCTTATATTTAATGTGTTTTTGGGCTTTGATATTACTAATGCTAATACACAGAATCCCTACTTGTCAAGGAATAATTAAAATATGTTTAAGAGTTTTTCGTTTGTTTGTTTTGCTACCTTAAGATAAAATAGAGCTCATATGTAATAAAAATTTTGCAAACTGGAAGTGCATATATACAATTTTATAAGCAGGGCCAAATTAGTTATAGACACTGAGAATTTAGCATCTTTCCTTTGGGTGATTCATTGACTAGAATGAAATTTTAAAGATAAACAAAAACTAAGGCATTGAAATTGTATGGCTGTATCTAATAATAAAGACATTTTAGATCATCATCTGAATTAAAAAAACATATAGAAATAGATGTAGTTAAAGATGTTATAGATATAGATATCTTAGAGAATTTATAGATCTTCGGGATATGCCCTTCTTCCATTTATTCTTGGACCCTAGTTTTAGAAACGCTAACTTACAGTATCGCAATGATAATTTCTCTTCTCTTTGACCATCTTGCTTAGTACTATTTAAGTGTATCTTATTCTAGGCTACAATATAGTAAACTATACATGTGTTAAATTTCAAAAGAAATTAGCTGATTTTCAAAAAAAAATCCATATTATGAGGTGTCAAATAAATGGAATAAATTAAAACAACCCATTTTTCTGTGAATCTGAAAGCATAATTAGTGATTCTACCAACCATTTGGCTGAGTAATATTGAGTAACTCTTTCAAATTCAGTCTATTAAAATGAAATACTCTCCCGTACGTACCTGAAAATATCCTGGTTTGACAAATCTCTCCTTCATTTCAAATGAAGACGGCAAAATGTTTTCTGGATTTCTCTGCATTGTCTCTCTCTGGATTCAGGTCTATGATTTCTATCTTCAGGACATTTAGAGGGTTTATAAATTGGTATTTATGAGCTACTTATCTCTATGAAAACAATTTTTTTAAATGAACTAATAGGCATACTTAAGATTTTTGCATTTCACTCTGTGAAAAAAATTCAAATGAGTGCAAAAGAACGAAACACAAATCTTCAACTTAATTGTTTTTATGCATGCTGATATACTTGGGGCTACACTTTTGCTCTAATGTCTGCATCTTATGATTAAAATTCATCAAACAGTAAGATGGATCTTTGGATGGACAGAGAGAGAGAGATGAAAGAATAGATATGTGATAAGCAATAAGAGTAAAAGATGGATGTAGAATCTGCAGAACATATATGGGTGTTCACTGTACATTTTTGTTTAACTTTGGTTAATTTTTTAATTTAAAAAAGTGGAAAAAGCTTTAATGTTAGTTGTTTTAAAGTTTTATGATAAGTAATTACACTGTAAAATACGGCTTTTTAATGTGAGAATATCCTCTAACGAGTATGCCTTTTCTCTCTTTCTGTCTTTCTCGTAAAGCTCCATTCTGACTTAGACAAGGGAGAAGGTGCTGTTAAGTACACTCTCTCAGGAGATGGCGCTGGCACTGTTTTTACCATTGATGAAACCACAGGAGATATCCATGCCATAAGGAGCTTGGATAGAGAAGAAAAACCTTTCTACACCCTTCGTGCTCAGGCTGTGGACATAGAGACAAGGAAGCCCTTGGAGCCTGAATCAGAATTCATCATCAAAGTGCAGGATATTAATGATAATGAGCCCAAGTTCTTGGATGGGCCTTACGTTGCCAGTGTCCCAGAAATGTCTCCTGTGGGTGAGTAGGCAAATTAAAATTCCCTCACATGCTACAAGACCTCTTCAACATTTACTTTTTTCAGGTTGACTTAAACAACTAAAATTGAACTTGTAACCCGAAAGATTATTTGTTTTTTAAACTTTTTTTTTCTATTTAAACTTTTCTTTCTCTTACAATCTAAGATCAATCACTAGAAGACATATTTCCCTGTTTTCCAATCTGTGGATTTTCCCGAACTCATAGAATCCTTTTGTACTTTAATTACAAAATTCACTTTGCATTTAAATTGATTCTCATTACAATTCTAGACACCTGCAAAGTACTGGAGATTATCAAATACAGATAGTAATTATTGACTCAACGATAATTATCCAAAGCTTGTACTGCATCTGAGTCTAGAAGGGGTACAGAAAGGTGTGTGTTGAATACTTTGTAGCTGTTGATAGAGATTCAAGAAGGGTGACAGTCTCTCCTATGTGTGTATAGTAATCCACGGTAGTTATGCCATCCAACCAGACAGCAAATATCATTGTCATGCTATTATTAGAATAAATTTACAATTATACTATATTATCATCATCTTTCTTAATAATTGGAGTTTTAATATAAAATTATATTTCAGTATCAACTTACATTTGCATACTTCTATAGTATGTATTATAACATTAATAAGTTAAAGGATCCAAACTTTAAAAACCATTTTGAATTATTTTTTTTATTCCTCAGTCTTCACTATCAAACCCTCAATTTGTTTCAAAGTAACTTCTGGTTTCTACCACATTTTTTAAGTTAAAGCCATTTGTTATTTTACCTTACAACTTGAAGTTTTTGTGCGAGCTTATTGCTAACGTTTCCTGAGTATGGCATTCCTCAGAAGTCTCCAGCTGCCCCTATAACCATCCAGGATATGCAAGGAAGATCGCACAGACTACCCTAAGGGCAGAAGGAGGTTAGTGGCTGTAGGAGTTGTCATATGGATTTACCACAAATGCACTTGAAATTGTGTGTGTGACCTTATCAGGTATTCAAAGACCATATTCTCCTCTTGACCAGAGAAATCAACTCAGAGTAGTTCACTTAGCTTTAACATTTTAGTGTGCATACCCACGACTACAAATCTGCGATTCAGTTTCTGCTACATTTTTGGAGCTACCTCATTTATTCTGTGCTGTTATTACTAGAGATTTAGAACTACATTTGGGGAGAGACCTGTTTTGTTAGTAGTCCCAAAAATGGGGAAGTTTTTTTTTTTAATTGTGCCTTGATTTTACAGAGGGAGTAAAGCTAATAATTTGAGAAAAAGAAAGGCTTTTAAGAAGACAATGCTATTTATACATGAATGGATTAATTTGGATTGCTTCAGGAAACCCTATAGGGCAGTTTTAGTCTGTCCTATAGGGTTGCTACAGGGTCGCGAGGCATTGGAATTGATTCGGAATCAATGGGTTTGATTTTCGGTTCAGATAAATTGGAATATCAGCGTATATGCATGAGTTTATGATCTTTAAAAACCAAAAACCGAATCTGTTGCCTTCGAGTTGATTCAGACTCAGCGGCCCTACAGGACAGAGTAGAACTGCCCCATAGGGTTTCCAAGGAGCGCCTGGTGGATTGGAACTGCTGACCTTTTGGTTAGCAGCTGAACACTTAACCACTGCGACACCAGGGCTCCTTATGACTCTTAGCGATTCCTTATTAACAAAAGAGCATCCTTAAAGCAAACACACACATACTTTTACAGTAAGAAGAAAATTCTGTCTTGTTGGTTAAGCAGTTAGGTCTTTTGTTTTGCTGATTATGATAAAGAGTAGGGCTGCAGAGCTGGAACCCCTAAGTAAGAAGTCCACAGCTAGTGCATGAAGAGAGGGATAGAACTAAAAACTCAGGAGAGAGGGTAGGTGAGTGAGAGAACAAAGTGGGTACCAGGTTTTGAGGTAGTGGGTGGGGTCAAATTTGCTGAGCTGTCATGAAGTTTCAAAAAGATCTGTAGAAACAGACTCTTTAAAGTGTTTTACTATGTTCTGTTACAGAAGAGACTCTAGAAAATATCTAAATTGATTTCCAATGAGCCCTTATTTATTCATTTATTTATTTTTAATACCTGAGGACTATTTCTTTTGATTGTGAAACTATGTTTACATGCCATGAGTTATCCCAGGTATTCTTGGACAATATTTTGCACAATAACTCTTTTTAAATAAATGCTAAAATAATGTCATGGTTTGAATTATGTCCCCCCAAAAATGTGTGTATCAGTTTGGCTGGGCCATGATTCCTGGTATAGTGTGGTTTTCCTATATGTTGTAAATCCTGCCTCTATGATGTTAATGAGGGAGGATGGGTGGCAGTTGTGTTAGTAAGGCAGGACTCAGTCTACAGGAATGGATTGTATCCTGAGGCAATGTCTTGAGATATAAAAGACAGAACTGAGCAGAAAGACAGGAGGACCTCATACCATCAAGAAAGCAGTGCCTGGAGCAGAGCGTGTCCTTTGGACCGGGGTCCCTGCGCCGAGAAGCTCCTAGTCTGGGGGAACACTGATGAGAAGGCCAACAGAGAGAAAGCCTTCCCCTGGAGCTGACACCTTGAATTTGGACTTTTGGCCTACTTTGACTGTGAGGAAATAAACTTCTCTTCGTTAAAACCATCCACTTGTGGTATTTCTGTTGTAGCGGCACTAGGTAACTAAGACAAATATAACGCCCACTGTAAAAGTCAAGGTTCTCCAGGGAAACAGAATCAATAGATTATATATACATATATATCTTATTCTATATACTATTAAAACTCCGTTTCCATCGAGTCGATTCTAACTCACGCAGAGTAGAACTGCCCCATAGAGTTTCCAAGGAGTGCCTGGTGGATTCGAACTGCTGACCTTTTGGTTAGCAGCCGTAGCTCTTAACTACTATGCCAGCAGGGTTTCCATATACTATTAGGCATATATATATGTGTGTGTGTATACGTATA